CAAAAAGCCAGTATGATTCCCGTGTTTTGTGCCGATATGATATGTCCCCAAGAGTTGCATGATGGAAATGTGTTGACCTTTCCTTGTATCTGACTTGGTTTGCTTGGGGACAAGCAAACGGTTAAGTGTGGGGGAATTTGATAACGTCGTATTTGCACATGTTTGCGCACTCGTTTCTTGATAATTTTGGCTTGATTTTTTTGCTTTCTTGGACTATTTTATGCTAGGTTGTGTTCCTTTGTCACATTTCAGGTCATAGCATGTAAATTGAAGCATAGGCGCAAGTTTCAAGTCACACGGAATTCATTGGGCAATTCAGGAGAAGAAACACGAGCATGACCTGAGGAAGAATGGAATTCTACCTCATATTATGGAAAAATATTCATGGAATCTTGTCATGAAAAGAAAGAGGACGAGACTACGAGCGTCTGGGTTCAAACGGCAACTGATTCGGAGTCCGAACGAGGGAGAAACGAAGCATTAAACTGGAGCGGAGGAAGAATTAAGGGCAGGAGAATTACGACCGTATTTGCCCCTTCCATGCCCGTATTTTCACTGCCGAGAGGAGCTTTGGGTGAACTGAAACTTAACCAAAACGCGTATTTTGGGCAAAATACGGGCATGGAAGAATTACGACCGTAATTCAGCCCGCAATTCGCCCAGAATTGGGTTTTTGAGGCAGATTCGAGCCAAAGAAGAGGGAGTCGACTTTTTGGAGCAAAAACAGAGTTTTAGAGAGAAAAAGTGCGAAGAACAAACCCTAGGAGCTATTTGGAGTGGATTTCTCATCATTGAAGCCCAGATTCCATCCCCAGGAGTGAAGATTGACATCCCAGAGCAGATTCTTCCCATTGTTATGAGTATGACTGCTTTGTATTCTGTTTTCCTCTCTCTCTCTATGGAGTAGAACTCTCTCTCACTTGGGTATAAAGAACCCTAGTTCCATGTGTTAGGAATCTTGATTGTAATTACGTTTGGATTGTGATATTGCTTGATTATAATCGATTGAAGTGTTTTGAATGAGTCAATTGAAGGTTGATCACCTTTTATTGATTTCTGCTGCAACTTGAGATAGATAGAATATGATTAGGTTGTTACAGCTTCTTCAATTGGTAGTAGTGAATCGATTACACGAGAGTTAGTCGATTCACTGCTTTGTACTGGAATCTAATTCCAGTAGTGGAGTTCTGTGTTCATAGCCTTAACTTTCTATCCCGGTGAAGACTAGTCGTCTGCCGGGTAGTTGGACTGAGAGGGCTTGGTTAGGTTAAGAGATTCCAAGCTACTGTCGGATCTTCCGCAGTATAATCAGCAGTAAAGCAACCAAAAGTAATTACAACTGGATCCTAACTAAGGAGCTAGGGGGACTCATTCCCGAGTGACTCTTCCTTTGCATCAGAAAACCGAACCATTTCCTGCTTTCTTACTGCTTTTACTTAAATCAACAATCACTTGACTTAGTTAGCTAGATAATAGATATTCACGGAGTACGCAGTAGATCTAGACCCCGGGCTGACATTAGAGCTTGCCTGTTACTGCATTTCCGGACTGCGATTACACTTGGTCGCAGTTTGGTGTTGTGTTTTAGCGTGTCACACACTTTATATCTCATTTAAAGCATAGGCTGAACTTCAGAAAAAATTAAAAGAACGCAAAGCTGAGATGAGTGAAACCTATCTGCTTACACTGGGGATGCAAGGATATTTCTCTTTTCAGAGTTGCTTTATTCAACAAACCTATGAGTGGCTCCAATGAATGGGTGAAAAGGTATGTGGAGAGGTGTCCTGCCTAACACCCTTGACACTTGACAGCCTAAAATAACCAAATATACTACCATTTACAGTAATGCTAAAGTAAGCATAAAAAGGCACAAAGAAATATATTTGATGAAAATTTCAGGGAAACCCATTTTTTCTATCACACGCATTAGATACTCCCAATTCCCCGAGTCAAAGGCTTTCTTAAGGTATTCTTTTAGTGCACATCAAGATGAAATATATTTTATGGTATAATTTTGCACAATCTCTTGCACCATAAGGATGTTCTCTAGAATACTTCTCCCTTAAACGAAAGGTGATTGGTTTGTACTAATCAACAAGGGAAGAATATTAGCTAGTACTTTAGAGATGATTTTATAAATGACATTATACATGCTATAGGTCTATAAGCAGTGAGTCTATCAGCATCCGGAATCGGTACTAGTGTCAAAGAGGCGGAGTTCATACCTCTTGGAAGCCTCAAATAATGAAAGAATTGCTTCACCCCCTGTGCGATATCCGAAGCAACAACTCCCCAACACTTCTAATAGAACCTAGTTGTCCACCCATCCAGACCAGGTGCTTTAGTAACAACCATCTAAACCAGAGCATTCTTAACCTCCTGATCAGATACAGACTCACTCATGGGTCAGGAGCTGCTTATCAACCTCATTCAATTTTCCCATCAAACAGTCTTTAATGAGCTTATAATCCATAGAAACTTCTTTATTTACAATACCAAAATGATCCTTGTAGAACTAGACTGCCCCATCAACAATATTTGTACCTCACTCAACTCCTCATCATTATGGGAAATAATCTTCCTTATTGTCGTTCTGGCTGACCGGATACAATCATTTTTGTGAAAGAATGAGGAATTTTGATCTACCCAGGTCAGTCATCTAATACGAGATTTTTGCTTGAAGAATTCCCCATCTTCCTTTGCATTTAAAGAAAGTCCTTAGTTACCTTTTTGACTTCAGTAAAAGCATCTGCAAAGAGATCATGCAATACAATAAGTTGTTAAGCCTTAAGTTCTTCTCCCTTTTCTCTCACTTTTCCGGAAATATCAGCAAAGGCTGTCTTATTCAGTTTCTGAGTTCACCCTTTAATAAGTTACTAGTATAATCTCTGCTTCACAGAGAATAACCAAGTTCTTAGAACTTTTTGTTGCCAACTCCCCTCCAGAAGTTGTGGGAACGAATCATTGATCAAGCCACATATCAAAGAATTGAAATGCCTTTGGGAACCTTTTTGCCGACGCACAAGGTTTAACCAAAATTTTACAATGATCAGAAAAGTCCATGGCTAAGAAATCAACCCATCATAGAATTTCTCCGATCAATCCACACTCACCATGAGTCCATCTAATTTTCTGGCCATTGGGTGTCTTGCTGTTGATGGCCTAAGTGAATGCAGGACCAATGGCTTTGTGATCTATCAACTCCATTTTCTCAACCCAATCACAAAAGTTAGTAATGCTGCTGGAAAATAGTACAAAATTTGAAGCCTCAGAAGGATCTAATGTGCCATTCAAATCCCCTCCCACAATCCATTGAGCTCCTTGTACTTTCCAATGACTCATCTGCTTATATGTAATCAGACTATCATTTTCTTCATTCGACCCGTACACTGCTGTAAAGAAGAAATGCCCTCCTTGCTTCAAATAAACTATCGATGCATAAAATTCTCCTAACATCCAAAACCTTTAGCTTGACCTCATCATCCACGCAAGCCAAATCCTACCCAGTTTGTGCTTTGAATAATTATCATCAAACTGGTACTCACAAAAAATTTCTCTTATCTCTTCAATTATTTTTTTCGTTGCACTCTAGTTTTAAGTCATGTGAAATAGAAAATCTATGTATCCGTAAGTAGCAAAGCACTGCATCATGCTTCGCGGGGCCATTGAATCCCCTAGTATTTCAAATGAGAATAGTCATTTACGAAGAGATACCACCTTAGTGGTTCCTCCTACTTCGCAGGCCTTCTCTACCAACCTTCTTCTGAAGAGATGCTTTCAGTTTGATGCCCCGCTGGCCACACCAGATCTCAAAAGCATTGGAATGCAAAACAGGAGTGGTGATCTTCAAAGCAGTCCTGGATTTTGCCCCCGTTGATCGCCTTGTTAACTTCCTCCTCGGAAGGCAAAGCACTGAGCGACAAGGGGTAGTGTCTTCCACAACATTATTCCCTTTAACAACCCCACTATCCCCTTCTATACGCTCCATTGTCTCATTTCGTGAAGCAATTTCAACCTCCTGTACACATTTCCAAAAACAATATTTTCATGAACTCATCAACCTGAACCTTAGTAGCTACTAAAATCGGGATAACTCTTGAATATTTCACCCTCCAAATCCTTTTTGTTTTTTTCCCTGATGGACGCAAAGTACAATCATGCCAAAATACTCTACAAGATGCACAACACCTAGGCAATCCGTAATACTCTACACCAATAAACATCTCATTCATAACATCTGGAGTGACACTGATTCTATCCACCAACTGTTTTTTAGCACTCGCCTCCACACAAATTCGGACCATACCCAATCGTTCTCTCTAAGCAATAGAGTGATCCACACAAAGCGATTTACCTATAGAACTTGCAATACGACCCAGCCTCTCTCTCAAAGCCAATTCCGCAGGAAGACCAGACAAATTAGCTCTTACCGGCACATCTAATTAATTGTCAATCTCTAGAGCTCTGATTCCTAGAGTCCAGTGACGGAGACAAACAATCTTGTCCCTATAATGCCACCGACCCTCTTCAAAAACCCAGCAACAACCATATATTTAAGTTTATAAGGACGTAAAGGTAAAGAAAAATGAGTTCACATTCTCAAAACACAAACTCAACCATGTGACCAAAAAGTTGAGATTGTAAATCATTCATTTTGAATGATCTCATTGTGTTTTATTTTGGGGAGGGGACGATAGATACTAGACAATATATGCATTCAATAAATACATCATTTAAGAAAACATATACCAAAAGATGCCTAAATACATTTAATATTAGATTGTCGTTATGTTGGTCATTGTTCCTCGTTCTGAGCTCTTAGATCTATTTAAACTTTTTTTTTCATAATCTATTTAAACCTCTTAACTCCAAACGACTTAGAAATCACCATATAAAAAGCTTTGGGATGTCCTTAATCCGTTACGAACAATAATGACCCTTAAAATGAGATTCTTTATTTGTGGATAAGTGATGATTAATAATAGAGTATGCATAAGATTTTTATTTTCTACTTTTTCATCCTCGGTTGGGGTAAAATCAGGGAGGATTTGGCACCGTCTGCATAAGGCAATTAATAGCAGAGCCACCATAAACCTCTAATGGGAACTAACAATTCATATCCAAACAATCCCAAATTTTCAAGGCAATAAATTAGAATTCGCCGGAGGAAAGATTAAAGCAGTCAAAATTAACGCAAATTTTTTCTTTTTTTTAAAAAAAGCACAGCAGATCGAGAGAGCAATCATGGGAATTGGAAGAGAAACAAACGCAACACCGCGTCTCATCATCCTTCTTGTTCCTGTTCTGGCTTTCTTGTCCTGTGCTAAACAATGCAATTCAAAGGTTCTTCCGCGAAACCAAGATCACAATCAGCACGGCCGTGGCCTCACCGCCGACGCCAACCCTACCTGTAACGTTGATAAGGTCGTCGACGTCATGAACTTTGGCGCCAAAGCCGATGGAAAGCACGACGATGTCATGGTAATTTACGTCCATGCATGCTTCGAATTAAAATTCATACAACCTTACGTAACTTTTTTTCCCCCGAATCAATAAACTAAATTAACAAAACAAAAATCATGATTCGATTTTTCAAAAAATGGGGCAGGCATTTATGCAAGCTTGGCAAGAGGTATGCAAAAAAAGCGCTCAGCCGGCGAAGCTTTTGGTCCCGGAAGGCACCTATATGTCGTCTCCCGTCATTTTCCAAGGCCCGTGCCTGAGCAGCCAGCCGGTGATCGTTGAAGTCAAAGGAACCATCTTGGCCAACGAGGACTTGAGCGCGTACGACGAGGACTTCTGGTTCTTGTTCGAGAAAATCAACGGCGTCATCCTCACCGGCGGCGGAACTTTCGACGGCCGTGGCGCTTCCGCTTGGAAATACAACGACGGCGGCAGCAATTTCCCCACGGTACGTAACTAATCAAATAAATTAAAAAATGGGAATTAGTATTATATGAGATAAAATGTTGTGGGTGGTAAATGATGGCAGTCGATCAAGATGAACGATGTGGATAACGGAGTGGTCCACGACTTGTGTTCCGTGAACAGCAAGTTTTTCCACTTCCACGTGACGGATTCGAGCAACTTCACGGCGTACAACCTCCGCATAACGGCGCCGTGTGACAGCCCCAACACCGACGGCATGCATATTAGCAGCACCTGTGGAGTCCAGGTCTCCAACAGCGTTATCGCCACCGGCGACGACTGCATCTCCGTCGGCCCCGGCGTTACGAATGCCAACATCTTCGGGATCACCTGCGGCCCCGGCCACGGCATTAGGTACGTAACTAATTAACACCTTTGTTTTTTTTCCATGCTAATTGAATGCATTCATTTAGAAGTCACAATTTTGGCTTCATTGTCGAAATGCGCGCGATGATTGTGACGTAAATGGGATGAGTGGTGTAAATACGTTATCCAAAAGCAAATTCATTTGGGTTTGGTTTAAAGCTGACAATATCGTACTAATTATCGATTAGGTTCTCATTATTTTTATCTGTTCTGAAACAGTATTGGTAGTCTTGGGAAAAGAGACCAAGAGAAAGACGTGTGTGGGGTGACGTTTAGCAATTGCACACTCAACAACACGACGAATGGTGTGAGGATCAAGACGTATGCATCACCAATTCAAATCAAGGCCTCGGATATTACTTTCCAGGACATCACCATGAACAACGTCCAGAATCCTATTGTTATAGATCAACACTACGGCTCCAGGAAGAAGAAGAAAGGGGTACGTAAACCATTGTCAAGAGCCAAGTCATTTCTGCCAAATTCGACACTAATTAAGATCGGCAATATGTATTTGTGTTGCAGGATTCGCACGTGAAGATCAGCAACGTGCACTACAAGAACATCCGAGGAACGACGCCTTCCAACGTGCCGATCACTTTGGCGTGCAGCGCCGCGGCACCGTGTGACGGGATCGAGTTCTGCGACGTCAACCTGGATTTCGTCAGCGATGATTTGCAGTCAAAGAAGCATCCCAACACCACCTTTACAGCTTGTTGTACGAATGCTAAGACTACGTTTTCTGGCCAGAACAAAGTACCTATCTGCGAGTAGTAGTGGGAACTTTTGAATTCTGACTACAACTTGCTCTCTGTGAGAGATGAAAGACGAAGCTAAGAGTGTTTGGAGCTGAAACTAGCTGATGGGTATATTGATTTGATTTTTATTTGAATTCTTTTTTTTTTAGGATTTGCAAGATTTGTGATTATTTGAGAATATGTGGGTATAAAGAACGGTTATGGAATTATTCCTTGTTATTGTTTATGGGGCCAGATCAGGTCAGTAATCCTACTGTCAGTAATCCAATCCTTTCTCCTCACGTGTCATCCTTTTTATTTTATTAAAATTAAACACGGAGGGGCAATAGGATAAATTGCACCCCCTATTCAATGCTGGCGCTGACGCTCTGGCGCTAATGCTCTGACGAGGATCCCACTCCCCCACCCCGCACTGGTTTCCCTCTCTCTTACTCTTTGTTTTATTATTAAGAGAAAAATTAGATTATTTTTTCTCTCTCCCATCTACAACAGAAATGAATCTAATCATCAAGCTATCTCTATTCAAATTTCAACTCAAATTGAATGGTGATTTTTTCGTTAAATAATTTAGTGCTAAAGACAGTAATTACAAATATGAATTTTATTATCACTTTCTACTATCATGGTAAAATAGGTGGGGAAAAATTACAAATCTAACTACCATACAATACCAGTATACTATATGGTATAACGTCGTAAAACATGCTACAGAAATTTACAAATCTATTTACCATACCATACCATATGGTATAACATGGTACAATAAAATTACAAATCCAACTACCACCACATGGTAAAACATGTTACAGAAAAGTATAAATCTAACTATCATACAATACCACCATAGTAGAACATGGTTAATCGAATGAACACAAATTACAAATCTAACTATCATACAATACCACCATACCACCATTGTAATTACCATACAATACCACATGGTATGAGAAGGAAAAACCATACAAAAATAATATAAATCTAATTACAACCCTTTACGACCATAGTAAAACATGATATCCATAAATATACATTTCGTTACCACACTTTACCATATGGTATAGACACATTACCATATGGTATAGTATGGTAATCTCAATATATATGTATATACAATTACTACTCTCTTCACTTTCTTTTCCAACTTCATTGTCTTCTAACTCTTCTTTCTCAGAACTGGAGTTGATTACCACCCACTACCACATGATAAAACTTGTGACCATAAAAATACATTTAGTTAGCACACATTATCATATGGTTAAGTGTGGTAATATCAATATATTACCTAAAAGAAGGAAGAAAAACAGGAGGGAGAGAAAAAAAAACTTGTCTTCTGTCTCCTCTCATTTCTCCTCCGCAATCAAGAACACCAAATGCAACAAAAAAAAGAGGAGGAAGGTCGGAATTGAAAATTCATAAACAAATACTAAAATATAAAACATGCAAACTCGACTCACCTAGATCCGTCCCCTCTTGGTAAATATGGAGCGTCATCTATTTTGAGGCTGAGAAAAGAAATAACAGAAGGAAGGAGCAGCTGCAAAGAAGAAGGATTTGGAGCGTCACCGGATTTGAGACGGGATGCTGCAATTTTTCTTTGTCGATTATTGGAGAATAAAAAATGAAGAACAAGATAAGAGAACAGATCTAGATCTAGAAAAAGAAGTTTAGAAGAGAAAAGGGAGAGTGGAAGAAGAAAAAGAAAAGTCATGTTTTCTCTTTCCTCCATTAAAAGTCAGCATATAAATACTGAAATAAAATAAAAAAGGAAAGAAATAAAATTTCAAAAATCGGACAAAAATTCCCTTTCCAACCCCGTGTCAATCCCAGCCACGCAGTGATTCCGCCCCAGATCAACGATCCATAAATGGTTACCGACCCTATCTCAAGCCACTGTATATGAGATTACTATGAAATGATTAATGAATTTTCCTAACCCTACTTTATCTCTCTTAAGCCGACCCCTCCCCCGCAATTTCTTCTTCTCCTTCTTCTACCCCTTTCACTTCTTTTTCTTCTATGGTTCATGACCCCCTCTCACAAAATTGGTTTTTTCCACCAAAATCTAACTCCGCAATTCTCTAAGGTTCATGAATCCATCAGTTGGTCGACTGACTGGTACTTAAGAGGGCATGGAAGCAAAGAATATGCCAACAGAACAATCGGTCGACTGACTGGTACTTAGGAGGGCATGGAGCAGAGTTGGGGACAAATAATAGCATATTGAAAGAACACACAAGATTTTTTAATGTGGCATAGCCAGGATGATACTAGTCCACGGAGAGTGTTTCCCTCTAAGGTTTTAGCATATCTTATTTCGTTAATCCTAAAGTCACTATAGCAAGATATATATAGGTTTGCTAACACAAACCCTAACTACATAATTACACAATGGTACCAAAACTAAATATAATCAACATCTCTCAAATTGATGTTGGATTCTCAACATCAATTTGGAAGATAGGTATCAATGTCTACTTGAGGAAACAACCTTTGTCAACAAATCAACAATATGTGCCTCTGTTGCCAAATAACTTAGTTGAACCATGCCTTCTGCAAACAGCTACCGGATATAGTGGACAAGTACTTCTATATGTTTCGTCCTATCATGCAATATTGGATTATGTGCTATCTGAACAACACTTTTGTTGACTCCATATATGCGCAGAGGTTGATCGCATTCTACACCTATCTCCTAAAATACTCTATAAGTCAAACCATTTCAAAGCTTACTTCAGACATTAACCGATACTTTGCTTTTGTGGAAGATTTTGACACTTTATCCTGTTTACAAGACCTCCAGGATACAAAATATATGCCAAACCGTATAAACCAACTAGAATTAGACCTCCTAGTGTCTTGGCATCCTGCAAAATCAGCGTCTGCGGAAGCTTCAATCACAGGAGTTCTGTCATCGGGGAAAAACAAACCCACTTCGAAAGTGTGTTCACATATCAAAGCAGTCTGTGCACAGCATCAAGATGTGTTGTTCACATATCATAAGCTAATTAACCACATGCACTGCATATGCTATATCAAGTCGAGTATGTTAGATAGATCACTCTTTCTACCACACTGCGATAGTAAGTTTGATCTCCCAACAACTCACCACTCTCCCTGTTAATTAAGCTTCAGATTCTGCTCCATGGAGGTATTGCATGGTCAACATGAATTATAATTGGTTGCAGCAAGAAGTTCATGGATATACTTCTTTTAATTAACAAACAATCCTGCTTTAGACCGACTCACCTCCAAGTCTAAGAAATAAGACACTTCTCCAAGTTCCTTCAAATTGAACGTCGAGTGTAACGATTCTATCATTCACGAATACCATCACTATCACTAACAGTAACTATCATATCATCGATGTAGATCAACAAAACAATCATTCCATGAATAGTGTGACATATAAACACAGAAGGATCATTTTGACTCTGCAGAAACCCAATCAGGAGAAGAGTCCCATGAAATTTCTCGAACCACGCTCTAAGCGCGTGTTTTAGACCATATAATGAATGTCTAAGCCTGCAGATCACATGCTCCCCTCTTTGTATTATCCTTTTGGACACTCCATATAAGTAGGTTCCTTCAAATCACCATGCAAAAAGGCATTTTTCACATCAAACTAAATAATCGGTCATTCTACATAGCATCAACAACCAACAAACTCTAAATAGTTTGCATTTTGGCAACCGGGGCAAAGGTCTCATCAAAATCAATCACATATTCATGTTTGAAACCTTCAGCCACCACCCTAGCCTTAAAGCGCTCAATAGAACCATGGGGATGCATCTTAACTATGTACACCCAACGAACCCCTATGACAGAGACACCAGGAAAGCATGGAACCACGTCACAAGTATGTTGAGCTTTCAAGGCATCTATCTCACCAGTCATGGAAGCATCCCATCTCGGATCACCCTTCACATTGATAGTGGGGAGGTATCGAGATAGCATGATCAGCTGAATATCCCACATAATCAAGAAGATGCGAAGGTGGTTGACCAATTTTTTTCCGAAGAAGAGCAATGTGGAACATGCAGAGTAGGCAAGGAAACTATCTCCTGGATGGCAATAGACGAAGTGGAAGAAGTCCCACTTAGAGAAGACCCACCAATAGCACACACACTTGCAGCCAAAGATGCGCTCGATGATCCACTTGAAGAGGACATAGATGTGTTATGGGCAGAGGGAGTACCAGGCGGTGAGAGCAAGAGGTCATGATTTACCTCACCTTACGGAGCATTATTATTACCAGGAGGCTCAAAATCAAGACCAAACCCACCAGTAGGAGAACCAAAGGCCGATAGTTTTACAAGAAATTCAAGAGAAGACAAATCATTCGTTGACGAAGTTTCATACTACATAACATGTTCCAAAAAGGTTACGTGACAGGAAATGCGCATTTGACGCTCACTGGGATTATACCAAAGATACCATTTATGCTGAGAACTATATCCCCACAAAGACACAACGGGCGACGTTGGGAGCTAGCTTATGGCGTGCCTTCTTGGGAAGCAAGACAAAAAATGGTACTAATACATTTTAACTTTGGGCTAACTGGGCTAGCTAATCATCATAGAAAGATCCTTTGTTTGTTAGAAAAAATGGTTTCCCCTCTGCCTCGATCCGCCCGCCGCCATGATTCCAAATCTAGAGCCATCCCAAGGTCATCTCGGGGAAACGATGGTGCATGTACTACCACAACGGCGACGCCACTGCATGCAAAGGCTTCTCCGTCGCCTACGAATAAACACCTCGATCCTCCCACCACCACCGCAATGGAGAGCAATCATCAATATTACCCACACGAAGATAAAAAGGGAATTTCATCAAACGCGCTCAGTTTCCACTATCTTCTATCCCTAACTATTTACTAGGTGGCTAACCGATAACCAGCTAGACGGTAACCAATAAACTTATTATTATCTGGTAGTGGTTGTTGGTAGCCCGTTATCGGTTAGTCGGTTATCGGTTTAACCAGTAACCGATAGATTACCAGCCCTACTATTTTGTATTAAAAATTACCAAAAAAATATATTTCTATTATAATTGGTTATAATTCTTGTTTTTTTAATATACCCTGGTTCAAATCATGGGAATTATATAATTTTTATATAAAATATATAAATAATTATGAAGACAAAAATTATATTTCTACTTTCACTTTTGTTGGAGAAATTTTGAAATAGAGCAAACCAAATCCTTAAGAATGTATTATAAATAGTGTAGATTGTGTTGGGGGCGAAAATGTATCCTTTTTTTAAACTTACCATCTAAGTTAACAATACTGCATTATCATCATTAAAAAACGTTATGAAAAAAATGAAAAGAAATACATAACTATATAATTTTTATATGTGTATAATATAATAGCTTTTTGCACATATCCAAACTAAATCGATTTGAACTTTAACCCTTAGTCGCTTACTCAATCGGGTTACCGAACAAAACCAGGTTCACAACCTTGGTAACATGTAAATATAAGTGAAACTTTCAAAGTATAATATTCGTGATTTGTCTAGTAAATTAAATTTGAACCTTTGATTTTG